TCTGGGATTTCCTTAATGCCTTTGGTTTCTTGTTTCCCATCTTTACTCTAGGGTTAGGAAGGAGTGTCATATCTCTCACTTAAGTACTCGCGAGTCTAGATGCTAGAGATGGTCCGGGGATTTGTCGTTATAGGTTGAAAGAGTTTTGTTAATCGATTGAGTAGGACAGAAGGTCTCTTTGTAGTGCTTGAAGGTATGGATAGGATCAAGTCAGTTCATGTCAAGTGACGACGTTGGACTCCTTATGGTAACAAATATTAAGTCAATTTGGAAGGGAGATGACTGTTTAGAACGATAGCGTATTCAACACATATATCATTGATGCTTTCGGTTTTAACCTTGTTATTATTACTGTGAACATTTCATAACACAATCCATACAAGGTCCCTCTATAATCGCTTGGTGTATACATGTCATGTATAATTAAGATCGAGAAGACAGTCAACTGGGTGGCCCTGCCCTAAATTCACAATCAAACAAGAAACAGGAAATAAGGCGGAATCACCCACTCTAAGCCTACAAAATATTAACTATGTATGGACCTAATGTATACACTAAGCCATCATAGCTTACCTATAAGGATCCTTAGTTTTGTATGAATGTCGTGCTTTTATTCAGTTGACGAAACAATTCGTGATTTTTTATTTATTTGCCAAAGATTTTGGTGAAAATTTGATGCTTAAATATTGTTGTTTGGGAACATACCAAAAATCTCGGTAAGGTTCCTTTATGCTTCTACATGTCCAATTTTTAAACTCCTCCTGCTTCTCCGTCATTCTTCTCTGTTGGACAATTCCTCTTGAAATGTCCCGTTTCACCGCATGCATGGCATACTTGTCTTACTTCTGGGTTGGGGGTTGGAATGACGCATGGGGCTGGGGCCCTACAGTGGCGGGCGGTGTGCCCCTTCTTGTTGCACCTATTGCAATGCAACTTCCGACAGGCTCCATTATGATGGAAGCTGCACTTGTTGCATTTTAGGAGGTTTCCAGCATATGGTTTTCTTGGTGTCGAGGTAGTAGAGTCAGTGGGGGTAGAGGCTATTACAGCTTGTTGCCTTTCGGTAGGCCCTTTAGTTGAACTGCTTCCTTTCTTGTTCCCTTGCTTTCGCTTCATGATCTTAGATTTGGGGTTCAGGGTGTCTTGGCAAGTTGTCACTCGTTGGTCTCCTTGGTTGTTACTACGGTTGGAATTGTTGACACCGTCTCCATTTCCGTTTGTGTTATTTGTCACATCCCCCAAACCAGAACGGCGGAAACGTTCGAGGGCGGAGGATGTCATGTCAAGTATCACAACATATTCATTATAGTAATCAAATTACAAAACAACCATTGCATTAATAAGTATAAGTTTTACATAAGTGTTTAAACATTACATATTCAAACATCAAAGTAGATGTGGTAAAAGACAAAAGACACAACACAGTACTAGGCTATCTTCTCAAAAGCTCCGGGAGTGTACCCGTCTACTGGATTCCTGGGAATACAAGTTATTTTGAAAGAGTAGATCAGCATTTAAGCTGGTGAGTTCATAAGTATTTTAGTTACATAAAGTATACTTTAAGTTCTTGGAAAAGTTCGTCGGTTCCTCAAGAAAATCCTATATTTTTTGATGTGATAAAATGATAACCACAATAGTTCCCTCTGCAATTATTTAGTTTATACTAGTTATATATAACCTAATATCGAACGGACAGGTAAATTTGTGAATCTTCCCTAAGACCACAACCAAACAAGGAACAAGAAGTAAGGCGGAAGTCACACATTCCAATGCCTATCATATATTACTTATATATAACTCTGATGTATAAACTAAGGAATCATAGAATTAACCGTTATTGGTCCTTTATGTTATACTAGTTTTGAGAAAGTGACTGATTACGTTCCAGAAAATCCTATATTTCCTGATTTACAACTGATAAGTAGTTTTAATCCCATAAAACCGTTTTGTTTAAGTATTATTGTACTTATAATAAAGTTTAACATAATTTTAACTATCCATAAAATTATAAGAAGAATGTTTTCCGTTTTATTGGTGAAAGGTAGTTTTAAATTCCCATAAAACCGTTCTGTAAAGTAGTTTTAAATCCCCATAAAATCGTTCTGCAAAGTGGTTTTAAATCCCCATAAAACCGTTCTGGAAAGTAGTTTTAAATCCCCATAAAACCATTCCATTTTGTTTGTGGAAAGTGATTATTACAGTAGTATTTCTTAAAAATAAACTACTAAAGAATAACTACCCTAATATTAACCTAGTTAATTAGGGTTTAAAATGTGATAAAGTTGTAACAATGCTGGACTAGAATGAACACGACGACCTTCTGGCGTCGAAATTGAATATGTGACATTTTTCACCCCATGGCTTGTCTACTGGACTGTAGCTAGCAGTCGGGATGTGGGATTGTTAGTCCCGTATAGATCTATACACACAATGCTCGCTCTCCCTCCAGGAGACTCTAGTTACAAGAATGTAAACTAGCAAGTAGATTCTTATGTCCTGAATACGTACCATCACATTTTAGTTTGAGCAAAGATCGAGTTATATCCTTTTCTTGACAAAATAGTTTAGACCTCGTATACTTATCTAGAAAATTGATTTCTCGTTTGTTTGATAATATACCTATTATAATTTACATTTTCTATATGATTAGCATGATCTCTCCTGAAAGTACCCCTTTGCTCAGCATGATACAAAGGTAATGATACCGACTGAGTAACCTTTTATATTCCCATATGTATAATGTATATAATTAAGAAGGAAATGACCATCAGAAAAATAACCCCACCTTAAGCCCACATCCAAACAAGGAAAAGGAAATAAGGCAACTCATTAGTCCTAAGCCCTTTAAGTCTTATTTAAATACTTATACATATATGAACATGATTTTGACAACTATAAGCTAAAAGAGTTATAAATACATTTTAAGGAGTTAATCGGTATTCTAAAAGAGTTTATGTGATTTTGATAAGAGTTTATATGACTTTAAGTCATTATGGAAGTGTTGGGAAAATCCTTTATTGTAAAAATAATAATTCAAAGCATAAGGAAATCTTTTATGTGATTGATATCACATGTATTTACTAACACAACTAGATTGTGTTCAACTTGTATCCCCCCTAAAAAGCATTTTAAAATCATTTAAAGAGTAAATTACACGAATAGTCCCTATGGTTTAGGGTAATTTGCACGTTTGGTCCTTAACTTAATTTTTTAACTCGGAAGGTCCCTACTGTTTGTTTTTGTTATGCGCTTGGTCCTTGTCTTACCTAAAAAGACTCTTTTCCCTTGATTTTTTAATTTATGTAAATAAACACACCCACAACCCCACCTCCCTCACCTTACCTTACCTACCTCACTATTTTTCCTTATTTAAATAATAACTTTTTAGGTAAGATAGGGACTAAACGCATAACAAAAACAAACTATAGGGACCAAGCGTGTAACAAAAATAAATAGTAGGGACCTTTCGAGTTAGAAAAAATAAGTTAGGGACCAAACGTGCAAATTACCCCAGACCATAGGGACCATTCATGTAATTTACTCTCATTTAAAAGATAGATTATAGGGGTATGAACTTACCTTATGTTGGTGATTCGATTGAAGATATGGTATAAGATGATTTGTATGCCAAGTGAATTCCCAAGTATAAATAGATCCTATTTAGCATATAATGATACATATAGGCACTATATTAGTGATTATAATATAACCACAAATGTGTGAGGGAATCAACGTAGGATGCAAGAACAACTCTCCAAAGGAGTGTTAGAAGCAAGTTAGGAGGCTGAAATGGAGTTCACGGCCATGAAGGAGTGTTCACGGCCAAAGAACACATGAGTGTTCACAGACTTGATGAAGGGTTCATGGCCCTATGAGTGGTTCACGACCCAAGAACATGAATAACACTTGAAGTGTTCATGGCCAAGATGCATGGTTCAAGACCTTAATCTTGAAGATCTTGAATTTCAAGGTGAAAAGATGATGAATTAGGATGGAAGGTAAAGTGATTTCAAGTAACAACAAGAAAATGGGTGAGTTACTTACATTTTTGAGGTGATAGAAGGCCCTTTTGTGGATGATACTTGAGAGAGAATGGGATAATTCACGGTTGGAAGATGAGAAATGAGGAGAAAATGGCTAACACTCATATATATATATATATATATATATATATATATATATATATATATATATATATATATGCGAAGGTTCATGGTCCGAAGAGTTCATGGCCGTGAACCTCGTTTGCGGTCCGAAGGCGGTGATGGCCCAGAAGCGTTCACGGTCCGAGGTGTTTACAGCCGAAGCCTCATTCACGGTCCAAGGGTTTTGGCTTCGCATGGGTTCTCGGTCCAACTTGTTTCACTTCATTAAGCGTACAACACCTTGAATACAAGGTGTAAACACTTATATAAAATATTAATCTAATCCATTCAAGATAAAATAAGATTTAAGTTGACTTTAGTTGACCCAAGTTTTGACTTTGACTGACTAGGGTTTACTTTTCAAGAAGAAAATGACGGGTTGTCACATTATTGGCGTTGAGTTGTGCCATGACAGCTGCCATAACAGCTGTTACAGCGGCTTGGAAGATTGTGGTGTCAATCTGTAGAATTGGTGGGTGCTCTGGTTATTTTCATGGGAAGACACAATTCTGTTGCATGATGAGAAACATGTTTGTGAGTAACTAGGGTCACTTCTAGCTGTATCTCATTTATGATTATAGATATGCACTTATGCATACACGCATATAAGTTACATGTTTTGGTTGTACGATTCTCATTGTTTCGACCTACATCCCTATGATGTATTAATGGTAGTATGTAGTAGTAGATAGTGGACGATCGTTAAGTTTAACAAAAGAGGATATAGATATTAGTTCAATTAGTTGATTCAGATTACACGGGTTCTTGGAGGGCGTACCTCTCTTGATTTAGCACTACTAGTTATAACGAAGTACATAAAAAACCTAAGACATAGTGCGAGTAGTGTAATGATGCTCATATGTCGAAATAACGCACAAGGAGCTCGACTATTTCACTCATTTCATGAGTGGTCTCATCTACCCTCTGATCTGCTTGAACTGCCCTAGCTTCGGCTGCAAGGAGATGATGCTTTAGGGTGGTCACTTCCTCTTCTAAAGAGTGTAGGCGGTTGGTAGGGTCCTCTTGCACTGTGTGTTGGTTCGATGTTGCTCCCGAAAAGTGAGGGTCGCTAAGGATCCCTCTGGTGCCTTCATCCTTGTCTGACTCTTCATCGAAATTATCCCCCTCGTAGTCCGCTATCTGGTGTTCTTCGGGACCTGCTTCTGGGTTTTCCTCTTGAACCTCTTCTGGCTCGTCTTCAACCCATCTGTTGGCCACTACGACATTGTAGTAGTGGTCTCTGTGAAGATGAAAGTCAGCGAGTGTGGAGATGTGAGAAACGTGTAGAAGGTTTATGTGCGAGGATTATATGGTGTCCTAAAATACTCCTACAGTATTTTAGACTTTAAATTTGGTTCTAATGTTCCGTTGTATGCAGGGTTGGTGAGTTTTAGACTCGTTGCAACACCATTATCACTCCCAAACACATGTTGGTTGTATCAAATAAATATAGTTGACCAGACTATATTTATCCCAGATACGATTACATAACTGCCTAGGTTTGACTGTAGTGTCCAGCCTCTACATACTTTTGTTCTCTTCTCATTATGATACTGTTCTAGTAAGTATGTATACTTTTATAAAATACTTATAGTTTTAAAGTATACTTTTAGTCAAAGTGTTTTAGTCCCATTGTATTTATAGTTGTATATCTTGTATGGTTGGATATACTAGTTCACTATAAACAATGCTCTGATACCAATCTGTCACACCCCCAAACCAGAACGGCGGAAACATCCGGGGCAGATGACGTCATTGTACAGTATCATAACAATTGAATATAAATGAAACATAGCAACCCAAACATTCATACATTTAAATTTCAAGTTTACACTGCTTACAACACTTGTTCTGTTCAAAAGTTAAACACAAATAACAAAAGTAGAAATAACATAATGCAGCGTCGCCAGGCCTCAATCGTGGTGAATACCTGTCTACTAGATCCTTGAGAATACAAGTCGTTTTGAAAAGCATCAACTAAAAAGTTGGCGAGTTCATAAGCATGTTTGTAGGTAAAACGTAGTAATATCTTTGTTCGTAATACGTTGAAAAATCTTTGTTCATAATACATTGTATAACCATTGTTCATAATACGTTGTAAAACCTTTGTTCATAATACATTGTAAAACTCCAGAAAATCCAATATTTTCTTATAAAAGTAGTTTGTAAGTCTCGTTTCAAAAACCGTGTATAGTTGCATGCATGTCATTCGTTATCCTTGGTTTGTGTTAGCAAGAATGTATTCCCAGAAAATCCTATATTTTCTGTCATGTGAAAAGTTGTGGTCTTAAAACCCTAAGACCGAAGTTGTGAAATCAGTTTACAAAATTTACGAAACCTAGTTCGAAATTTTATAAAACTCCTGTCCTTGTAAGGTAAGAATATATATTGTTACAGAAAAATGCAGTATTTTCCTTAAAGATGAACAATAGTCTTAAACTCTAAGACCCTGATGGAAGTGAATGTCGTACGAAAAATAGTTTATACTTTCATTTATTTCAATAAAACTAATGAAGTATAAGCTTCCCATAAACAAAAAATTGTTTTGCTTATCCCTATGTGAGTCGTTATAACCATACTAATATGACTGATATGCCTGGCTTGCCGTTTTACAGGCGTCACTTTCTTCAGAAGATATTTGTCACCCTAGACTGGCCTAGTTTAACTGTAGCGAATAACGTAAGTGTGGGGTTGACATGTTTGTTAAGTGAAGTGAAGGAGTATGAAATAATCAGAGAGTAAAACGGGGGATTTAGGGAGATCTAGTGAGGATGTTCTCGTTTAAATAAGGGAAGTAAGGTTGATGTGAAATTTACTTTGAGAACTGTTGGATAATTCATAAGGATTCGTGATTGCATGAGAAAATGGTAAAATACAACTCATAAATCCGTAAACACTTTAAAATATCTAAGTGTTTACGCTCCAAGATTATCCCTAGGAAAGTGTTTACGCCCAAACAGCACATCCCTAAGTAGTTTACGCCTCTAAAGTGGTCCACCAAGGTGTTTACGCCCTAAGATACTTCCTAGCATCATGTTTACGCCCAAGATGCTTCCATTTGATGTGTTTATGCCCAAGGGGGTCCACTAAGGGGTGTTTACGCCCAAAGCATGGAGTCCCTAAGTAGTTTACGCCTCTAAGGTGGTCCACCAAGGAGTTTACGCCCTAGGATCCTTCCTAGGATGGTGTTCACGGCCAAACATGGCCCAATGGAAAGGGTTTATGGTCTTAGATGGTATCCTTAAGTGTGTTTATGTTTTGGATGATTTTTATAAATGTGTATATGTTTCTAGTGTTTATAAAGTCCAAAATGATGGCCTTAAAGTTCAAGAATTCAAGGATGCAACATAACACAAGTTCTTATATCTATATCATGTGATTTTTAATCAAATCAACTTGTCTAGTTTTTGCCTTGATAAACTTGCTTACTTTCAAGAGATTACTTTGTATGTGGCTTCCAAAGTGTACACTTTCATATACATGCACTTGTGCTCTAATGGTTTTCAAGGTTTTCATTGGCATAGGGTTGCAATTTAGACCTTCCTTGATCCAAATATTTCGGGTTGTTACAATATTACTCACAATCCCTCCAATTTTTGCAGAAAAATCGTCCACACTCTTTGATTCACTCATGTTCATCATCTCAAATTCGGCTTTGAGAGTTTGAACTTTGGCTGTTTTGACTTGATCTGCTCCCAAGTACATCGTCTTGAGTGTTTCCCAAGCTTCCTTTGTCGTTTGCTTCTCTGCAATCGTCAATAGAACCTCATCTAGAAATGCTTGGTAGATGGCATCCATTGCCATCTTGTCTCTCTTCACGCCCACCAGATTTTGTGGGTTCTTCGGCTCGATAGCTTTCCACACCTCTTGGGCTTGCATATAAATCTTCATCTTAATAGACCATGTTGCGTGATTCGTCTTAGACAACATTGGGTATTGAAGAGTAACCGATCCTTCTTTGTTCGACATCACACCAGATTCGCTCTGATACCAAATGTTGGTTTGAACTTCTTAAACAATGATGGGTTACCCTCTTTAATATGCTGTTATGAATCAGGAAGAAAGCACAAAAAAAATGATAGGAAGAAAAAACGTGCAGGAAAAATAAGAAGAAGCAAGGAGAAGAACTTTACTGCTTATTCTCAAGTTCATAAAAAAAAAGCAAAAATACACCAATTTAAAGGAAACCAAAAACATGACCTGCTACTTACTTTCCTAGACTTGTTGACCAAGTAAAACATCCTAATTTGAGTCTATTACTACTTTTCATATTCTGAATTACACCTACAATGCTTTGTCTTGATCAAAATTCAACTTTTCAGGCAAAACAACAGAGCGACTAAGCAACAAAGAGGCTACAAGATGAAATTCATTTCATCAAGATTTCCAATACGGTTCAAATGTAAGACAATTCTGTTAAACTACATATTTTGATGTTTTTCCATTTAATCATTTCCAAGATTCCTGTTGCATCGGGGGTGGGGGTGGGGAACTCTTAGACTTGTAATAATTACTTATTATGTAAGTCTCGTGAGCAAACAAATTCTTCTTGGTAATAATCAGGATGCATGGATTTGGGCTGGGAAAAAAGTAACTACCTATCTATACTGCTACAAAATTAACACCAACATAATTATATCAATAACAATTATTTTATTTTTCTTAAACAATTATTGATTATACATAAAAACCAACCAAAATCGTATCAATTTCAAAATTCAAATACAAAGTAAGACGATCACTAAAGAACATGGAGAGCACCTTGTATAACTCTCCCGCCATGTTCTCGACAGAAAAGGAAGGTAAGGGAAGGAAAATACACGATTTTTTTTTATTTTTTTTGCCTTTGTTCTCGAGTTGGATGGAATGGAAAGAAAACAGAAGAAAAGTCAAGTTTACCCTCCTAATCATTCCAAAATTGGGCTGATGGTTTTGATGGGGAAAAATGTGAAATATAGCACCCCTAATTGCATAATTATTTCATTTTCTTCCCCAAAAAATCTCATGAGCGCATTTTTTTTTGGGTCTCCTTAGCAATCCTTTCCGTTCCATGCTTAAAAAACTCGTGAATAAGGTGTCCATCTCTGCATTTTTCTGAGGAACGCGTTGAAATATCTTTGGTTCTCCCTTTACAAATTACACCTTTTGTTCTTTTTTTCAAGGGGGGAAATGAGCAAAACCCCTGGTGTGGGTCCACCCATGTAAGTGGTGCATTGAAGTGCAAACTTGAGAAACGGTGTATAATGGAATTTCTTCATAGTGTTGCATGATTTTCAGATCCTTCAATAAAGAAAGGCTCATCGGAAGATGACTTATAATTGTACCTCGTATATCTAACTCTTCTAAACATTCCAAGTGTCCTAGTTTCTCGGGCAATTCCTCAAGTTGATCACATTTAAGAAGGTACAACTTCCTGAGACGTTTCAACTTACAAATGCTACTAGGAACATCTCTTATCTTGCAATGTGATAGACTTAGTTCCTTCAAAGATTGTAATAGGCCAAGATCCTCGGGTAACCTCATAAGAGCTTTACAATCTTCAAGAAGTAGAGTTTTCAAATGTTTCAACTTACAAATGCTATCAGGGAGATGCTTGACACGTGTACCCTTTAATATTAGTGTTTCTAAAGCTTCTAAATAGCCAAGATCCTCCGATAATTCTTCTATCGCAGTATTTTGAATGTCAAGGTGTTTTAGGCATTGTAAACTATACATACTTTGTGGCAGACTCTTTAGTTTATTGCAAAAGTGGAGATCTAGAGAAACAAGTTTTTGAAGATTCCCAATTGATGAGGGTAGTTCTTCGATATAGTTCCCTGAAAAATAAAGCGGAAGCAAATTCCAGTTGGAGTGCTCCGGGAGTATATCTGGGAATTCCTTCAAATATAAATGGCGTAGATTAAGAACCTGAAGTGATTCCAGCTGTTTGATGAATGAAAGAGATTTGATCCCTGAACAATTATATAAGTCTAAGTAGATAAGTTTTTTTAGACATCCAATAGGTGCACGAAGTTCTATCAAACGACAACAGCTTCCAAGGTGTAACCTCTCTAGATTTGGAAGTAAGCCACAATCAAGAGTCATCAAATTTAAAAATCTAAAGTCAAGGAATCTGAGGTTCTTAAGAACCTGTCATAAGCAAGAAAGAAAAAAAAATGGTTAATATTGCCATTATAACTAACCAATAGACGTATAGCAGTAAAAGAATCATGCAAAAAGAACTCTGTTTGATATAAATAAACCACTTTGATCAGTAACCTGAAGTGATTCCAACTGTTTGATAAATGAAACAGAATCGAGTTTCTTGCAATGATTTAAGTCTAAGTGGACAAGCCTTCTTAGAGATCCAATGGGCACATGAAGTTCTACCAAATCATAACACTTTTCAAGATTTAACTTTTCGAGATTTGGAACTAAGCCACAGTCAAGGGTCATCAAGTTTGAATAACTCAAGTCAAGAAATTTGAGTTTTTTAAGAACCTATCATAAGCAAGAATGAAGAAAAAGATGAATATTAATGCAGTATTAGCTAACCAATAGATGTATAGCAGTAAAATGAATCAAGCAAACAGATCAATCATCCATTCTACCTTTCTTTCTCCCTCTCCCCATAGTTGTTTAATTTTGCTTTCACGCATTTCAAATGCAACTAAATTACTTGCTTGAAATGTTTTAGGTATATAGTAATGAGGGTAGTTTTTCCAACTCAGAAACCGTAATGGGTATAAAGGTATTTAATCAATGATTTTAAGTTGTGTATTACTGGATGAAATTCACGCCTTATATAGGCTGATTACACTGTTGTGGTCATCCACATTTACAGGAGAAGTCATAGGCTTATTGACTATACAATTTGACTATGCATTAAACATTTACAACATGATTAAATCTATCTAGATGGGCTTAATGGATCGGATGATCCATTCACAATAATACGCCCCCGCAAGATGGAGGCTCCGTCAGGGACACCAATCTTGGACCTGTTTCGAAGAAAAGGAGCTCGAGAGAGAGGCTTGGTAAGCATGTCGGCTAGCTGATCTTGAGAGTGGACATGGGGGACTCGAAGATGACCAGCAGTCACGTGTTCACGTACAAAATGGTAGTCCAAAGCCACATGCTTCATTCGTGAGTGATAAACCGGGTTTGCACACACATATGTAGCACCTGTGTAGTCACAAAATAAAGTAGGTGTAGTGTTAATGATAATACCCAGTTCCTACAGCAGATTTTTTAACCATGTTAGTTCAGCAGCAGCATTAGCGAGAGCCTTGTATTCTGCCTCAGTTGACGATCTTGACACAGATTTTTGTCTGGTAGAGCGCCAGGAGACAATATTAGATCCAAGATAAATAATATAGGCAGTAGTAGAGCGACCTGCATCGTGCACTCCACCCCAATCGGAATCCGAAAAAGCTGTGAGAGTGATAGGAGAGTTACGGTTTAGAAAAAGACCATAGTGGATGGTACCTTTGAGGTAACGAAGTAGGCGTTTAAGAGCTTGCCAATGAGATTGACGCGGAGCATGCATAAATTGGGAGAGTTTGTTGATAGCAAAGGAGATGTCTGGATGGGTGAAAGCTAGGTATTGAAGAGATCCAACGAGTTTTCGATAAGGAGTAGCATCAACCGTTGGAGTTGAATCAAGAAGTGTTAAGGGATCCGAATTGCTTAGAGGGGTTGTGACATCTTTAGCACCTTCCATGTGAAATGAGGTGAGAACATCTTGGATATGACGATGTTGGGAAAGGAACAAACCGGATTTGGTGGGAATAACTTCAACACCAAGAAAATGATGAAGCATGCCGAGATCCTTGAGAGAGAACTTATTGCTGAGAGCTGTGATAAAGGAGGATAAAAAGGCTGAATTATTGCAAGTAAGGACAATGTCATCAACGTAAACTAGGAAGTAGCAAATGATATAATTGGAGTGATAGATAAAAAGTGAGGCATCGGCAGATGATTTTTTGAAACTGTAGGTGAGCAAAAAGGAGGTAAGCTCATTGTACCAGGCTCTAGGTGCTTGTTTAAGGCCATAGATGGATTTCTTGAGTTTGCATAGGTGTTTTGGAAATTGTGGATCAATATAGCCAGGTGGTTGGGTCATATAGACTTCCTCATGGAGAGTGCCTTGAAGAAAGGCATTATTGACATCAAGTTGTCGTAGTGGCCAGTTGTTGGATAAGGCAATGGATAGTATAGTACGAATGGTGACGGGTTTATTGATCGGGCTAAAAGTGTCAAAGTAATCTTTTCTATGGCAACCCAAAGTTTGTTCCGTTATATTACCCCGTTTCCTCTACCGGAATATGTCATTTTATAAAAGTTCCGTTAATTTGGGGTCGTCAAATAAATAAATGTTTATTTATTTAATTATATTTTATGTGATTATTAAAAAGTTGAAACCTCGTTAAGCATTAGTATCGGGTAGTCGTATACCGGGTGCAATACCCAAACCTTATATAAAGGAGGGTGAACACTCCATTGAAGCTTTTCACCACTCTAGATCCACCCTCTCTCTACTCTCTCTCTCTCTCTCTAGCTCGTTTTCGACTCAAAACCGCAAGTTTCCGCCTCCAAAACGTAAGATCTTCTACCCTACCTTGTTATAGACATAATTTCTTGTTGCAATAGCTCAAAAATCACACAAAATGGCCATCAAAGAGGAGTTCACGGCCTAAGAACCTCCTTAGGCCGTAAACACCTAAAATGGTGCCAAAAGTCCCAATTTTCCTTCATTGAGCTTAGAAACTAGTTGTGGAATTAACCTAGAAGTGTTTGAACCTCAGAACAACAATTTTTAGGGCATAAAAGAGGGTTTACGGCCCAAGCACATGCTTAGGCCGTAAACACCCTCTAACCATGCAAAACATGTCCAAAAACACTTCCAAACCACCCTTAGGCTTAAGATATGGATTAGGGACTTGCTATTTCGGAATTTGAACAATTAAACACAAACATTTGAGGGGTAAAATAGAGTTTACGGCCCAAGCATATGCTTAGACCGTAAACTCCCCTAAATCATGCAAAATGAGAGTTTAAACCCCTAAAAAGCCTTATAACCTTTACTAGAACTTGTTAGGAATGAGCCAAGGACCTTGTAATCAAAGTTTGGGGGTGTACAAGAGTTTACTACCATAAACCCTAGGGTTTACGGCCGTAAACTCCCAAGGAGTGGCCTTTGGGCCGTAAACTCCAAGGGAGTATACTCTTGGACCCTTAAGCACCCCTATAGCCTTGTATAATTCCTTAAAACCATTTCTAAATCCACATGAAACTTGAAATCATTCAAAAAAACTCTTCCCATGAGTTTACGGCCGTAAACTCATGGGGGATTTGGCCTCCCAACCGTGAACTCACTTAAGGTGAGTTTTAGGAGAGTAAACTCCAATGTGAGGTCATACACTCCTTCCATACAACTCATTAACCTTCTAGCACTCAACCATAAGACCTTTAATCAAATTAGGATGTCTAAATGTTTTAATAAGAGTATAAGTCACTAATTACTTGTAAAACATATATCTCATATATTACTAGGGTCATAAAGGGTGTACAAGTCCTTACTTGACACCAAACGCTCATCTGACACATTCACCCGATTTATCATTTCAGGTGAGTTCATACCCTTTAATGAACCTTTTCAACTGTTTTTACATGTTTTAGGGGGGTGGGGGGGATACAAGTCAAATGTACAATTTATGGAAATCAATCACATGTGATTTACAATTCATAGTACAAATCACATGTGATTTATCACTATGCTTTACAAAAGATCTCTACATTTTTAAAACTGCTTTTAGAACAAAACTATTTTCAGAAAATATCTAAATGCATTCTTTTTGTTAAATTGTTATTAAATTATTTTCAAACTGTGTTTAAGTTACTTTTCTTATAAAAATATATCTACATTAATATATTTATATAAGTAAGACTTGAAGGACTTAGGACCGATAACTCGCCTTACTTCCTGTTCTTGTTTGATGTGGGCTTAGGGTATCTGTTATCCGTCCGAGTGTCGTTGATTTCTTAGTTATATATCATGTATATTGGTGTTAGATATGAATGTCTTCATCTCATTCGATACCTTTGTCATATAAATGCCGAGAACCATACACACTAAGTTAACTATAGTAGGTATAGTTAAGGCTACTACTACTCGTTACTGCTACTACTATACACACTATAAATATTATTATTACAAGATGATACATGTATGGGAGTACGCTCTATGAATTATACAAAAGACTACTACTCTATAATACAAGAGAAAACACTAATCCAGAGTATAACACACTACCTCTCTATAAGACAATCTACCGCGCTTACATCCTGTGACCAGGGCCTTCCGGAAGGAAGGCGACACTACATGTATAGATCTATACGGGGCAGACACTATTATATCCCGACTGTTAACTACAGTCCGAGCCGACCAGGCTCAGAGATGGCACTAGTTCACTACACTACGTATGACCGGGAAGGTCATCGGACTCTCTATTTCTCACACTATTGGTCACATAAAAGGAATACACTTATATCCACATTAATACACTAAGACTAAAGTCTAAGCTAACATCCCGAAGTAAGTAAGTATCTATTACTAATGGAAGTTAGCACCACTACTACTGACAACAGGCATAACTTTTCCTTATCTACACTACATACTGGAGATTTACTACTATACTTTTACAACTAACAGTTTTCAATGATAAAACTTACACGCAACTTAAAGGATTTCACTTACGATGTACTTTCTGGAAAATATAGGATTTTCTAGGGTTTTCTACTACTTATAAATGTAAATTGCAGCTTTTCACACTATAAGTTTTAACACATTTTATACATCAACCACACTAAATTCTTATGAACTCACTAGCTTTATGCTGATACTCGTTTTCAAAATAACTTGTATCCTCAGGTGAAATATAGACAGGTACAGGTGCAACATTTTGGAGAAGATGGAGCATACAAGACCCATCTCTTATTTTTGATATATTTTAGTGTCTATTAAAACTTTACAGAACACGCTTGTAATTAAACTTACTATGTAAATGAAACGGTTGTTGTTTCTTGTTTTTACTATTATGCAATTGTGATGATACTGTACATGACGTCCTCCACCCCGAAACGTATTTCGCCGTTATCGGTTTTGGGGTGTGACATTTTCCATATTGTAGGAAGCCTTTGGCCACAAGTCTTGCCTTGTATTTTTCGATAGAACCATCAGGTTTGCATTTGATTTGGAACACTCACTTGCAGCCAATGGGTGTGTGGGAGGTGGCGGGAACAAGCTCCCAAGTTTGGTTCTGTATAAGGGCATTGAATTCATTGTCCATAGCATGGCACCAATGGGAGTCTTTTAAGGCTTGTGTGTAGGTGGTAGGTTCAATAGTAGTGGGAATAGGATGGAGAGTGGTGGTGTTAATAAGGTTATTATTGAAGTATTTGGGGTTGCGAGTTCTGTTTCGTGGTGGTGGAAAAGGGCTGGTACGAAGATTAGGTAAGGGTTGAGGTTCCGGGGAAGGAGGTGATGGAGGAGGGGATGGGGTTGTAGGTGGGTCAGTAGGAGTGGATGAAGTTGCAGCGACAGGGCTGGCAGGTATAGTAACAGGTGAGTTTCCCAGAGCAGGGGCAGGAGGTTCATCGGGAAGAATCCGAGAGATATGTTGGTGTGTTAGAGGCATGGTGGTATTATCTGTGAGGAAGTCATCAATATTAGGTAACATAGAGGGTGAGGTGGAGTGATACGGAAAGATTGATTCAATAAATTATACATGTCTGGAATGGTAAAGCTTGTGGGTTGACGGGTCATAACACTTGAAGGCAGATTTGGATGGAGAGTATCCTAAGAAGATACACTTGGCTGATCGGGGATGGAGTTTAATGGCAACATAGGGTCTTAACCATGGATAACACAAGTAGCCAAAAGGTTTCAGTTTAGTGTAGATGGGTGAGTTATTGTAGAGTTGTTGATGGGAAGATATGTGGTGAAAGATGGAAGTAGGTAAGCGATTTATTAGGTAAATTGTTGTTTGGAAAGCATGAGACCAAAAGGTGAGGGGAAGTTGAGCATGGTGAAGAAGAGAAAGGCCAGTCTCGACAATATGACGGTGGCGTATTTCCACCACCCCATTTTGTTCCGGGGTGTGGGGAGGAGTAGTAAAGTGAGAAATGCCTTGATCTTGGAGATATTTTGTGAGAGAAATATATTCTCCCCCATTATCAGTAAATAGAGAGATGAGTGGTGTATTATGATATTTTTCAACAAGAGTCTTGAATTAAGGGAATAGAGTGGAAACATCTGATTTCTTTTTCATTGGGTAGAGCCATGTGTATTTAGAGTATAAATCAACAAAAATAACATAATAGACATAACCATCATTTGATTTTTGAACAGGACCCCAAACATCAGAATAGACAAGTTCTAATGGTTTTGAGATAGTGAAAGAATTGCTACCAAATGGTTGCTTATGACTTTTATTAACTGAACATGCATCACAATGAAAAGAACTATTGGATATTTTTGGAGACTCTAACTTCAAGCTTTTGAGAAATAGTTGGAGGACTTTGATGGAAGGATGGCCAAGCTTGTGATGCTAAGAAAGAAGCGATCCAGATGAAGTTGGGACCGAGTTTATTTGAGGAAAACTCTAAAGAGATCGAATAGATGCATAATAGACATCATTGATGTTCACTCCCCGTATTAGGCACGCCCCCGTGCGTAGATCCTTAACAACAAAGTGATTGGGAAAAAATTCAATAGAAACATGGTTACTTTTACAGATTTTAGCAATGGACACAAGATTACTACGTAATTTAGGAACGAATAGGACATTTTGTAAGTTTAAAGGACGTGATTGGGTGGGAAGGAAGGATTGACCAGTGTGAGAGATAGAGAGACTTGTACCATTACCTAGCACTATCTCATCAGGTCCTCCGTATTCCGATAAGGTGTAGAACGATGCAGGGTTGGATGCCACATGGTGGGAGGCCCTTGAATCAAACATCCAAGGTGGCGTTGGGGCTGTAGTGCCAGCAGTAGTCATGTTGACTGTTGGAGAAGATGCATTCATAGAAATAGTGATGTTGTTCCCTTTTAGGAACCTTGCTAACTTTCTGCACTCCTTTGTTTCATGACCTGGAATATTGCAATATTGGCAATAGGTAGAGTTCTTATTACCTCAAGGAGAAAAATTGTTACCATTAGGAGAACCTTGATAGCGATTGAACTTGTTACCAGAGGCATTGTTTGACCTGTTAAAGGAGCGATTATCATTGTTCTTTCTAGGAGTGAATCGAGATTGTTGTGTCTGGGTATTGTTGACTGTGGTGATGATCGATGGTTGTTGAGTATCTTTGAGGGTTCTTTCATGGTCCACAAGTTTGTCGAATAAATCAGGGAATGTAATGGATGTATCTCTAATTTTTAGGGCAGCGGCAATGTGGGCATAATCTTCTCCGAGTTGGCCCAATATATGAACAATTAAGTCTTCTTCTTCTATTGGGCTTTGAGCTAGGGCCAGCTCATCAGAAATAGTCTTCATCTTGTTGAGGAATTCAGCAACCGGTCGAGAGCCTCGTGGGTTATTGGCAAGGCGTGATTTGAGAGATATAATACGGGATCAAGAAACACTTGCATAGCTGTCATTGAGTCTTTTGAATTCTTGACGAGATGGTTCAGCGGAGGAAACAATAGGCTTAATCATGTCAGTACAGCTTCCAAGAAGAGCACCAAGAAGAATCTGATCTTGGCGGTACCAAGGGTTGTAATCTGGATTGGTTTTTGTGGCATCACCAGCGAGAGTTTTGGCTGGTGCTTCTTCTGAATCGTCGACATGCTTGTTGAGACCTAGGCCGATTAGAGTGGCCATAACCCGCTTTCTCCATATTGGGAAGTTTGTGGCATTGAGCTTAATTGGGAAGTGTGTTTGTGCTGTGACTTTGATGATAGGCATTGTGGATTATCTGAGCGGAAGGTATTTGGATCGATTAGGGCTCAGAGGAGATATTGAAGCTCTGATACCATATAAAGGTATTTAATCAATGATTTTAAGTTGTGTATTATTGGATGAAATACACGCCTTATATAGGTTGATTACACTATTATGGTCATCCACATTTACAGGAGAAGTCATAGGATCTATTGACTATATAATTTGACTATGCATTAAACATTTACAACATGATTAAATCTATCTAGATGGGCTTAATGGATCGGATGATCCATTCACAGTAATAATGGGTTCTGGAAATTTTGGTAAACTTCAAACAAATTATCAAATGGATAAACCACGTCAAGAAGTCTAAGTTTCTTCATGTTTCCAAAACAAAGATTATCCTTGATAGGCCATGAAAATTTTCTAAGTGTTATAACTCTTGTTGCTTCATTAACCTGCAATCCAAGAACAATGATCATGAAACTTCCACCATAAGTAATGAAATAGTGTTAGTTTTGTCCACATTGTAAGAAATTAAACTTCATCCTTACCAAGTCATCACCCAATCGAATAGGTTCATCAGGGTTCGAACGACGAACAATATTTTGGCCCATTTCTTCTATATGGTCATGCATGCCTAACCTCTGATCAAGAGAAACAATAATGAGAGACTTTTGCTCAAGAACTCTTAAGATGATCCTAGCATGAAATCCACAACTTTCAAGTGCTCTAATTGCATCTGCTTTCGGCCAACCTTTCATTAAGCATGCAACATCTAGGAATATTTCCTTGTAATCATTCTCCAAGCTTGTATAGCTTAATTCCAATTTTTCGATTACTTTGATAGCTTATTCACACTGTACATTTTAAGTCTATGATAACACTATTAGTAGTGATGTAGTCTTGAGTGTTAGAAAGAAAGAGTTCTTAGATTTCCACATTTTTACACTTGAGATTACCCTCTATACTAATTTAGCTTAAACATAATTATTTACACCTTGTGTTGATTTCCTTATCGTCTGATTCATGTTTGATGTTCTTAATTCCGCATTGTCATTTCCATGGGATCCTACAGTAACCAAAAAAATAAATGAATAACAACAACAAAATTTGAATAAGTACCATCAACAATCGATACAAACAAGCATCAACAAAAATTACAATAAAGAATCAAATGAAAATATAATATCGAACAATTACCAAAAATTGATGAATAGTACATGCAAATTCCCGGTTCCCACAACAACTAACCAATCATCAAATAAAAAAATCGAATAAAGTTCTAAACCACTCTAACTTTAACGGATATTAATTTAGAGAAAAAAAACAACCATTATTTTATTATTGTGACAAAACGGGAAAATAAATATTACAAATAGAAAAACTATTTAGCATGGCTAAAGTCTCAAATTAAAAACCAATAGAAAATGATCTCAATAACTATCCTTTGCAACCAAAATGTCGACGAAGATTGCTTATCGATCAAGTTGCACTAGAGTTCAAGTGATGTAAGCCAAACTCAATTTCACAGAATGCGTTCAATGCCAGCTAGACCTTCTCACAGTGGTGGACACAAACTATTTTAGTAGGGGTGTCCCTCATACTTCAAGCGGGTGCACCTAATAGAAAAAATTAAAAAAAAAAAATTTACACTACGAGCCGGAAATTGAGCAGTGGCCCGAGACCCCCAATTCTCCACATAGGTCTTCCACTGCCTTCTCAACACCATCATCGCCGCCCCTCAACCACATGCTACAAATTCAACTCAATTTTAACCACAACCCTCCCACCCTAGTATAGCCACCAATTATCCCGGCCTTCTTCAGTACACTCAACTGTTTTCAAGCAATGATTCCCATTTTCCTTACGTCACTTCAGTTTTCTATCATCATAACAATAATGTTACACATATGCTTCTCACTGATCCTTAGTTCCTTCTTTAACATCCATGTTTCTCACTAGATTTAGGGTCCAACCAATGAAAAGCGGCTCTAATCACAATTGTTGGTGCAGCCCCTTCTTTAACCTATGAACAAATAACAAAAGGAAACAAACTTTGTTGTTGTACACGAGAAGAGAAAAAAGAAAACAGATGAGAGACTTTTTTTTGTATTCAAAAACTGTTACTCTTATTTTATTCATATCACATAACTTATATATATAACCTTCCATAAATCATCACATAGAAAGAAACAATAAAATAATAAAAACTACTCTAAGCTAAATAACATATAAAAGGGTTGAACTATTCTAACATTTATCTTTCTAACGTGCCTATCTTATGACAACTCAATCAAACCCTTCTATCCAATTTCTTTATTCAATAGTAAATAAAGCAATACCAAAAACCTTTTACCCATACCCATAATCCAAATTAACCCACCCATGTTAAGATTACCCAACACTCAACCCCTTAATCTTGACATTAATCAGTTTTCCTCAAAGTAGTGCTACGTCATCATCATCTTGGATCAAATTAGCTTCTTCTTCCTTTGTTTCTTTCTTAAGACACTCGGTTGCATAATGTCCATATTCTTGACAATTATAGTGTAACACCCATAAAAATCATGCCAAATTTTAAACTTTTAAAAACCCATGATTATTACAAACTTGTTTTCAAAATGGCAAAATGTCAGAGTTTCCCAGAATCAAATCATAAAATCATGAAATATGAGGAGCTGTACGATCACGCCTTTGCCTTGCCGCGATCATCAGAAGTACCTGAAACAATAATCGATAAATGTAAGCTCGAAGGCTTAGTGAGTTACCCCCAAAATACCAACTCCATAAAACATATCAATAACATATAAGCGAACAACATGCATAATGAGCCTTCAGCCTGACTGGACCGCCTCGCATGCCTTCAGCCTATCTGGACCGCCTCACATGCCTTCAGGTTATCTGGACCGCTCTCCGAGCCTTCGGCACGTCTGGACCGCCTCGCAGGGCCTACAACCTATCCGGACCGCTCGTCGGACCTTCGGTCTGTCTGACATGCCCTACTGGGCCTGTAGTCTATCCGGACCGCCCTGGGTATGATGGCGTTCAGCACAAAGCAGGTCCGCCTCAACCCAACCCCCAATTAAACAACATGTGCACATAATATCATACGCTAGCATATATAACGGTCAAACCGATCTAACAGATCATCAATCATAACAACATCCTATAACCAGGATACAGACCTAACCAGTCACTAATATAGCATCATCCTATATACCAGGATACCGACCTAACCAGGTCACTAAGCATAACACCATCCTAACTACCAGGATGCAAATCAATAAGCATATCATGCAATAAACCCGGATACAAATCCAATAAGGGCCAGCATTGGTGCCTTAGACTCTATTGATATAGTGAGGAGAACTCACCTCCCAAGTAGCTCGAAGTGATAAAGTCAAACTTCTCCAAATGCAGCTCCAAGTCTAACACCTACAACCACCAGTGATCCTTTTCCATAAATTCCCAATTACCAATGCCCTCAGAAGTCAACGGGTCAACTCTTGGTCAATGCCGAGGTCAACGGTCCACATTGACCCGACTCGTCGAGTTCTTTAAAGATTCCTGAATCACTCGACTCGACTCGTCCACCAGCTCTTCCAAATGATGCCAAGAGACAGAAGACTAAGATCCACCAGCTATTCAATGATCCAAACTTCTTTTTCTACACTCCTCCTTCTTCTAGCACACCCTTCCAAGCTTGAAATCACACAAGATGAACAAACACACAAATTAGGGTTTTCAGAGCTCTCTAGAGGCTGTAGGGGACTGAGGGAGGCGCTAATGGTCCATTAAATAGGATGCAAAAACCAAAAATTAGGGTTTCCTCTGCCAACTCCTACTCGTCGAGTCACCTTTCTGACTCGCCGAGTCGGTCACTTAATGACATGGCCCAAACCCGTTGCTACTCGACGAGTAGGGCATCTAACTCGTCGAGTAGACCTTAAAACTTGAAGGTCTAAACTGTAATATTAATACCTGACAATCGGGGCGTTACATATAGCATTTAATGTGTCACTTATCTCATTACATACGTTGCTCTCTTCGATCTTCATAGCTTTGGAACCGACCATCTCGACCTCTACCACGACCTCTTCCTTGATTGTGGCCTCTTCCTTGTCCATATTGATCTTGATTGAAGTTACCATCTTGGTTCTCTTCCCAATCCTTTTTTGACAGTAAAAACCTGTTTTGATTTTGATCAATATCAACTTCATCAAGAGCTTTAATTCTCTCTTCATATGCCTTCGACCTCCCACAGTATCCTCAAGTGACATATTCTCTATCTCCAAGTATTGTTCGATAGATGCAACAATTTGGAAGAATTTATTACGAACCTAATTTAGCAACTTTCTTACCACTATCTCATCTTCCAAGATAGACCCAAGACTCTTGAATGTTGTAGCAATCTCACTAAGTTGGCCCGAAAATACATCTCTAGCTCGGTTGTAAGTGTTTGAAGTCTTTCCTTTTGAACTCTTTCGGCTCCCAAATGTTATGATAGAAGTATACAATCAACAAAACTAATTGAAATAAAACAAACAAAATTCAAATATATATAATATACAAGAATCAATTTACAGAAAACATACTTGTATGATGACTACACAGAAAATATAATCACGAAATTGTACAGATTAAGACTTGCTTTGCAGTGTCCTAAGGCAGAAATTTCCCTGGTAGGGATCTGTCAAAAGGATACAACAATCAACCAAGATCTTCTCTTGATTCTGACGAAATTCAATATGTTCCCTTCATCGTCTGTGAATACGAAATTATATGAGGAATATGTGTGTGGTTTTTCTGAACCCGAAATCTGGTCTTTGGTGATCTATTTATAGATATAGATTGACTGTTTTTCCCTCCAAAAACTGCTAATCGAAAATAACTGTCAAGACAGTTACAACAAATTTAACAGATTTTTTTAATATAAAATAAAATTCAAAATCGGAATTAATATATAATAATAATAATAATAATAATAATAATAATAATAATAATAATAATAATAATGTAACTAGTCAATGAGACCCCAAGAGCCCTAAGGCCCAAGGCCAATCTTTTGACCATTTTATATATATATATATATATATATATATATATATATATATATATATATATATATATATATATATATATATATATATATTAATCTAAGCCTTTCAAGACCAATTTGACTAGCCCAATCACCAAATCCAACCCAATCCCTTTAGTCCAAGCCTTTGATATAATTAGTAAACAACTAGTAGAAGGCTTTTTAAGGGAGTATAAGTTTCCACTTTCTTCTAATGTGGGACAAGTCCCATAGAGAAAGTTTTCATTTAACAAAGTTCCAACAATACCCCGCATTTTCTATTCAAACTCTAAGAATACCCCATATTTGATAGAAAATAAGTGAACTTTGATATTCAAATCAGGGAAGTAAGATATGACATGCATCTGAATAGTTTTGGTAAAAGTTGAACATTTCATAGTGAGTACTACTTGGATCTACTTGGTGGGTAGTGAACTAGAGTCTTGAACTAACCACTTTTTATAGTAGAATTAAAAACAAGAAGTATCACACATATCATATCTAAGCATAGATCATTTCTTACCATTGTGTTCATTTCGGTCGTGAACAATCCTTTCTTCATGAGACTTTTAGAGAGCTTAGCCATATCAGCTCCCAAAGATGTAACCTCACATCCATCTCACATAGCTAATGCTAATCTAGAATAATCCGTACTATTCCACTATAAAAGCTATCAGCATTATT